ACCAGATGTTGGTAACAACCCAAGTGATCCATACATACAAAGAAATCAAACCATAAATGTCCAGAAATGAAGTTATTTGTAATAATGTGGAATGGCACAGGGAAAAAGTATTGAACACATGAAGAAAGGGAGGTGTAAAAGGGCATGGAAAGACAAGACACCAGCTGAACTCTCTCAGTAATTAGAAAGCAAGCCTGCCCCTTGTCAGTGCAAGTTAATATCAGCTGGTTCAGTCCCAAATGATGGCCAGGTATCACACAAGAACCATCTGATGATGGGTAAAAGTAAAGAGCTCTCTCAAGACCTTCACAACCTTATTGTTGCAAAGCATAATGATGGCATCGGTTACAGAAGAATGTCTAAACTTCTGAAGGTTCCAGTGAGCACTGTTGGGGCCATAATTCAGAAGTGGAAAGAACATTATTTCACCATAAACCGACCACGACCAGGTGCTCCTCACAAGATTTCTGACAGAGGAGTGAAAAGAATTATCAGAAGAGTTGTCCAAGAGCCAAGGACCACTTGTGGAGAGCTTCAGAAAGACCTGGAATTAGCAGGTACGATTGTTTCAAAGAAAACAATAAGTAATGCACTGAACCACCATGGCCTGTATGCACGCTCACCACGCAAGACTCCACTGCTGAAGACACAGCATGTTGAAGCTCCTTTAAAGTTTGCTGCACAACATTTAAACAAGCCTGTGTAATACTGGGAGAATATAGTCTGGTCAGATGAGACCAACATTGAACTGTTTGGATGCCAGAATACACATCATGTTTGGAGGTCAAATGGCACTGCACATCAGCCCAAAAACACCATACCAACAGTGAAGTTTGGAGGTGGGAACATCATGGTGTGGGGCTGTTTTTCAGCATATGGTACTGCAAACTTCAAATAATTGAAGGAAGGATGAGTGGAAAAATGTACAGAGACATTCTTGATAAAAATCTGCTTCCATCTACCAGGATGATGAAGATGAAACGTGGCTGGACATTTCAGCAAGACAATGAGCCCAAACACAAAGCCAAGGAAACTCTCAGTTGGTTTCAGAGAAAGAAACTAAAGCTGCTGGAATGGCCCAGCCAATCACCTGACCTGAATCCAACAGAAAATCTATGGAAAGAACTAAAGATCAGAGTTCATAGAAGAGGTCCACGAAACCTTCAAGATTTGAAGACTGTTTGTGTGGAAGAATGGGCCAAAATCACACCTGAGCAATGCATGCCACTAGTTTCTCCATACAGGAGGCGTCTTGAAGCTGTCATTGACAACAAAGGCTTTTCTACAAAGTATTAGATACATTTCAGTAAGTGTGTTCAATACTTTTTCCCTGTGCCATTCCACATTATTACAAATAACTTCATTTCTGGACATTTATGGTTTGATTTCTTTGTATGTATGGATCACTTGGGTTGTTACCAACATCTGGTGAAAATTTCATGTCATTAGCACCTCTAGTAATATATTTACTGAGAAAAATGGTGACGTGTTCAATACTTACTTTAAAAAGCAGTCTTTCACAAATATTTAAACACTTGTCTTTTACTGAAACTCTGATTGTGACATGATTATGAGCTGTAACAAGTTATTTTTTTTGGCTGCTACAAACACATCTGTTCTCCACGTATATTCTCGTGTCAACGAGCTTTCATTGTGTGTCTTCGGTTCTGAGCGCCCTCATAGCCTGTGCCATTAACAGGCCTGTATTGTTGTGTTTTTATTCACAGATATTCAGCGTGACAAACAAAGAAACAACAACAAAACAAAAAAAAACCAGATGTTAGATGAATGGCAGCTCCCGTTGCACAAAAGCAGACTCAGTACATTGTTCGTCCTCAGGGGATGAAACAGACGAATGTTATCCAAACGCCGAGGCCTCATCCGGCACATTCCTCCCACTTCACTTTTGTAGATTGAGCTGTTGCGTTGCTGTGGAAACCGGCGCTGCTCGCACTTATAATACACACGTACACACCAGTTGAGCGGAGAACATTTGTTCCAGTGATAGGGAATGATGGTGGTTTGGGCTGGGACGTGTCAGTCTGATCCAGGTTCAGCAGCAGGTGAACGAGGACCTTCAATATAAAATTWATTTTTTTCTACCACCTCCAGATCAGCTCCACACACACGGTGAACGCAGACAGAGAAGCAACACCAGGGTTGTCACATTTCAGTTGTTACATAAAACCAAAGAATTTGAYGATAAAAACAATTTACTCCACTGCTATTTCATTAAGGCTCACACTTCTGGTTGCGTTAAAAGTCCTCATTAAATCAAACATAAAATAAATATTTTAGTCGGTGCAGTTTGAAAGTGTTCACTCCAGTAGTTTTACAGATATACTGAATATGATTCTGAAATGTGGGTCCACACTGTGYGTAAACAAAGCACTGGGCTTGAGTCCCATCCAACACACGTGGTCATGAAGTTTAAAGGTCCTGTCACATGCATATTCTTCAAATACAAAAAGTCAAAAAAACATCTTTATATTTAAGAAAGGTGGAATAATAGACACGATTTAACCCATTTTGTCCAATAACTGGTCTATTTTCTTTTGAGCTTGGCTCAGCCAAAGTGAAACAGGAAGTGACATCAAAGGGGAATTCTTTAACAAAGAAAACTCTGATTTTTGTTTAATGAAATAACATTATTTGAACTGTGACTCTCTCTGATGACTCAAAATAATCTAAAGAAGCATCAGATTCTAATCTACAGTCTGTGTTGTTGGCTGTTGTAGCACTACTGTGTTCAGACATTCCCCTTTGACATCACTTCCTGTTACWTTACAGGCAAATATCTCAACAACTGTTCATCTTAGCAACATGAAATTCATTCTGCAATATCTTATCAATGTCATCTTTTCAAAAATGCATTCATATATGTCAAAAAATTTGACGTCACAGGCACTTTTATGTTTATGTTGGTAAACAAACACACATGGCAATTAGCTTAGAGCTAGTAGTTAGCATTAGAGCATCAAAGATGCTTAGAGTTTGTGTTGGGGAGAGTCTCAGCTACTACCACATCTGTAAAGGGTTACAGTGTTTTTTGAGTTGGCTCTTTGATTAGCTGTGGCAACCATCTCTAACCGAGGTAGCTGTAAAAGTTTAGTAGTTGCAGATTTATTAGCTCTCAGATTACATGTTGGGGATGACTTTTAGCTGCTAAACACATCCAATGTTAGCAGAATATTTATTAAATTGCCTAAATTATAGCCATGTTCCTGTTTGTGTTAACCAACAACACAAATTAAGTCATATATATGGATTTAATTATGATATCAGGATGATCCAGGTATCAAAATGTAGCTTTTAAAGACAAGAATCTGAAAATGTAATTAGGTCATTTTGACCAAATTTGACTTAATCCTCATTTCGATACGATGGGTCACATTTATGGTCCAGTAAAATTTGTTACCGTGACAGACCTTGTTGTAGTTGTACATCCAGTGATAACTTTGGGAAAGTTTTGTTAAAATCTGCCAGGTGTTTCATGAGATATTTTGTCAACAAACCGACATTGTGACCCACTTTTTGCCTTTTTTTAGTTTGAAAAGAGCCTCTTAAAACCAAAATCTCAGTTTGCATGTGGACAAGAGGTGCGGATGCTGCAGGAAAAGTTACAGCTTTAGCTGTTAGTGTAGACAGGAGTTAAGGAGTGCTAATCTCAGCTGTTTCCTGCTTGGCGGCCGTCAGTCACTCCGATGCCTCCTGGAGGTCCTCGCTGTCTGACGGCATCACATCATCTGCACAAAAAAAACCCAGAGATGCCACCCTAAACTTGTTGTCGCAATCAGAAATGTCAATCAGTGCCAGCAGCACCATCTGTGTGGTTTCTTCACTTTTAGCTGTTTTTGCTGTCTTTATTTTTTATTTAGTTTTTTTCTTTCTTTATTAACCAATGTTCTCATAGGTAAACATAGACATGTGTTATCTATAGAAATGTCAGGATCTTGGCTAAAAACTCATAGAAACCATTTCTACGTCCATCAGACAGATAAAACAACACACAGTTGAATCTGTGTGTAAACAAACTGTACAAAATGGCGTCTCGACAAAACCCAGTCTCAGCTGTTCACCAGTGACTTCTTCACACACAAACAACATGTCTGCTGAAAGCAGAGACCTGACAGATTCTAAACATATAAGTTTCATCACARTCCAACCAGAATTCACTCAACTAGCAACAAAAAAAAGAGAAGACCTAGCACTCAGATAAAAACACTAAAAAACACGTTTTACATGTAAAGCGCACTTCTGGTTGTGTCTACGTGCCGTTTAAAAGATAAAATAAATTATAAAATGTGCCGTTTTTGCTGGTTAGTTTATTTATTTATCAAGTTTCTTAAGTTTTGTAACTAAAAACTTTAAAAAACTCTTGTACTTGTTGTAGGTGGAGCCAAAATGTACCAATTTGTGCCACAAGAAAAAACATCTAAATATTTTTAAACTAAAACCTCTGTAACTTTGTTGTAGTTTACTTCAGCAGCACGAGGTTTTGCACAGGTAATGTTCATAAGTGGATTCATGGTTTCCAAGAGTTTTTAGCCTGATTCATTATACTTTTGAAAAGATAATATGCTGTATAATGCAGAAAAACCTCAGCCGAGGGGAAGAAAAACTATTTTTTTCTATGTTCCATCCTCAGAATCTCTGAAACAAAAAGCATTTGATGTGATATTTACACTCCTGATGAAATCTACCAAGTGTTACCCTTGATATCAAAATAAAGCTATTTATATGGTGTCTTTAGGTGCAGAGATACACCCACTTACATTTGGGCATGCTTTTTCGTGCACAAACTTCAAGAAAACCCTTTGGGGTTTAAGAGGTTAAATTGTGACGCAAATCACACGAATGCTAATTTTTATTCTTTGTGATAGTTTCTGGTTTTTTACATTTTGTATAATGAATTTTAAAATTTTGGTCATAAATTGTTTTATTTTTTTTTTTAAGTTTTCACCTCGTTCATAGTTACTTCGGTGTTTCTTTTCTTCCAGGCTTGAATCCACTCAGAAACCCCATGGAGCAGGATGTGGAGAGCCCAGCCGTCAGGAAGCCCAAGCTGCCGAAGCAGGCCCGAGAGGACCTGCCCAAGCAGCTGGCAGAGATAGACCGAGCCAAGAGGATCCAGCGGTACGTCCAGAAAGACGGGAAGTGCAACGTCCACCACGGGAACGTTCGGGAGACGTATCGTTACCTGACGGACATCTTCACCACCCTGGTAGACCTCAAATGGAGGTTCAACCTCTTCATCTTCGTGTTGGTGTACACGGTGACGTGGCTCTTCTTCGGCCTGATGTGGTGGCTCATCGCTTACCTCCGAGGCGACCTGGAACATTTAGCGGATAACCAGTGGACTCCGTGCGTCAATAACCTCAACGGGTTTGTATCAGCGTTTCTGTTCTCCATTGAGACAGAAACCACCATCGGGTATGGATACAGAGTAATCACGGACAAATGCCCCGAGGGGATCGTTCTGCTTTTAGTCCAGTCGGTGCTGGGATCTATCGTGAACGCCTTCATGGTGGGTTGCATGTTCGTTAAGATCTCGCAGCCCAAGAAGCGAGCTGAGACACTAGTGTTTTCCACCAACGCCGTCATCTCAATGAGAGACGGGAGGCTGTGCCTGATGTTCAGAGTCGGAGACCTCCGAAACTCACACATCGTGGAGGCTTCGATCAGAGCCAAGCTGATCAAGTCGAAGCAAACCAAGGAAGGGGAGTTCATCCCCCTGAACCAGACGGACATTAATGTGGGTTACAACACGGGAGACGACAGGCTCTTCCTTGTGTCGCCGCTCATCATCTGCCACGAGATCAACCAGCACAGCCCCTTCTGGGAGATTTCACAGGCCCACCTGGCCAAGGAGGAGCTGGAGATCGTTGTCATCCTAGAGGGGATGGTGGAGGCCACAGGTGAGCTCCCACATCTGACACTTTTACATCAAAATCAATGCATTTTTGGATTAAATTATGAACTGATTACAGCAACACATGCAGTCATCATTACAGTCATTCTACCAGGGGAAAAGAACTGTTCAAATAATACGTTTTAAGCTCGAGATTAATGAGTGCATACAAAGTTCTTGGGTTTGAAGTTGATCTGACACATAGTGATTGGACAAAACGTAATCTGAGCGGGCTTCAAAGACAAATCTAAACTTAAAATCAGACTCTAATAATACACACTTTCATCTCCTCAAACAGACAGCGACCAAGAGATAAAGAAACGTTTTTGTAAAGGAAAAAGTGAGAGAGGAACTGCAGGCAGGGGCGGAGCCAGKRGGTGGCCAKGGCCACCACAGACAAATCTTTGTCCACTCTGCTGTACACACCTCTTCCACAGTGAGACAACCTTTASGGRTGTWAYAATCCTCCTGAACAGTTGGTGGCAGTGTTCAACAGTTTGAACAAGTGACAAAGAAGTGATTGTTTTCTTTGTATATGGAACATATGCCTATGTAATCTGACTTATGGTGACAAATGTTTTATTTATTTATTTATTTATTTATTTATTTATTTATTCGTCACCATAACACAGTGTCATTTTCTGTTATGAAGGTTGCATGATGCTCTGTCCCTTTTAGTTAGGAATAGACCTATCACTAAATCATAAAAAGTGAAATGCCCCTCTAAATTCACTGTTGATGATTATCAATATTGCACCTGTTCATTGGGTGAAGTTATTAAAATTAGTTCTAAACATGC